ACAAATATAGTCATAAGAGAATTCTTTTGTACTGGTAGGTTTTCCGTCAATATGGCATGAACTATATTGTTCAATAATTACAAGAATGTCATCCGAAAGTTGCACGTTGGATTAGTTATTTTAATTTCGATTATAGGTGCTGTTCAACTTATAATTACATGAATCATTCATACGAAAAACAAATATAGAGATTAATGATTTAAATGGCGAGAATACATCTTCGGAAACAATTTCAATAAGGTACACTAACCCCGAACCTCTATATGAATGATATGATCCCTATTTATAAATTCCAGTTGCATAAATTGGCAAGATCATTGAGTAATATTGAAATCTGATCATCAGCACATTCAATCATGCATTGCACCAGATACATATGAAAGAGTTCAGATCAAGCTGTTTTCGCACGAACGCTCCACTGATTTTTTCCCCTTTGATTTAAATTAAATTTAAATTTGAATAAGGGAATGTCTCCTATCCAAAATATAGAAGAGGAAAGCCAGAAGATGGAGGTCACATTGGCAAGATCATTGAGTAATATTGAAATTCATTATTTTTCTCTATAAATTATAACAATGATTTAAAATCAATCATCATTTTCTTACAAAAAAGTGTGACACACAGCAAGGAGCGGGTAATTCGGCTAGTAAAGCAATACCGATTCATTTGTTCTTTATGATGAAATATGAATGAAAACAAAATACAAAAGACGAAATTGCATTATTATTTGTCCTGAAAATGCAGAGAATTATGAAGAGCAGCTACCATTGGTTCTCCAGAGAACACTGTTAAAATTAAAAAGAAAAGATTGATTTTTTACGGATTATCAACCCTTTGTCTTATTTAAAGCCAGATAGTATTTTAGATTGTTATGAAATCTGATCTGTTCGATAAGGTCAAATTGGCAGCTGATATAAAAAATGACCTACAGTCTGATGTTAACTGGGGCAAGGAATGGCATGTTCATTTTAACACCTCCAAAGCAAAACATCTCTCTATTAATCATCTGAGAGACCTCTTTTCTGCCTTCAATCAATGTAGATGATACGAACCTCCAACAGAATGAAACGTTGCGCCTTCCCGGGCTAACATTATCGGCTGACGTGAAGTTGAAAGTTTATATTGAATCTATTGCTAGGTTTGCTGCCCAGAAAGTTGATTCATCGTGCCGTGCTAGACAAGTTTTCTATACAGAATCTATCTTACATATATATAAGTCTACCATTTGCCTTTGTTTTGAATAGTGTTGCATCATTATGTGCTCCTGCTATGTATTTAATAATTCTTGACAAAATCCAAACAAGAATCCGCAATATTACTAGTCTTGACATGGCATCTCTGCTTCAGTCACTTTCCCACCGCTGTGACGTGGCTACCCTGTGTCTTTTCTCTACATATCTTCATGCAACTGTTCTGATGAGCTTTCCGCTTTGGTACGTAGATTTTATGAACTTGAGCGTGCTACTAGAGTTGCGGGAAGGTCTCATGTTATAATAGAAATAGCTAGATGTAGCCGTAAATTTTATGCTAACAGTTTCTTCTCCCGCACTTCTCGCTTGTGGAACTACCTTCTGCGTTTTTGTTTTCCAGTCAAGTGAGATCTTCAAACATTTAAATGCAATGTCAATCGTTATGTAATGCTTTCTTAATTCCTGTTCTCTCATTGTTCTCTCTTCTTAATAATGTTTTATTTTTGTTATATTCTTTCACGGATAATAACCCGTTGCGTCTTAGTGGCTTTGTTGCCTTGCTTGGAGTGAAATGTATACAATTAATGAATAAGGATGGTCTAATTTTGCTGCATGGCAATGTATGTTCTTCTGCTATTCAATCAACTGCTCAAAAGCTGCATAGCCTGAATTATAGAATTTTGACTCAACCTTCATATTAACCTAATCTTTCATGCGCAGTAAAACATTCTCCAATTAGTAAGAGTCAATCGAAGCATTTGAACTGTTTATATATCATTAAAGGATGAGAATCTTTTTTTTAAAGACGGGATCAAGAATTTAGTTATTTTGGAGAAAATTCATTCATCAACATGGTGCCTATTTCAACTAAATAAATTAGTTGGTTATTTAATATTTCAGAAGCGTTTTATTCATTTCCTATAAAGTGCGTCATTTCATGTGCGACAACCTAAGATTAAGACAAGGCAGAATTTTGCCGTTTGTTTGCCAACCGATGTCGAGAGAAACGTAACAAGAGATGGGTACCAATTTAGCACGATGACTTTATTTATCAGAAGCCATTACACGTACGCACCGTGTTATTATGGCGCGAAATAAGACCACGTGAAAAAAAAAAAAAAAAAAAGAGATGGAAAAATAGAATAAATTCTAAAAAGCCAAGCATTAGGTAAAATTATTCCTATTTAGATGATTTTAAACTGCAGGTGTCACCTGAATATTTAATGATGTTTCTGTTTCTTGCGGTGTTCTCGCGAATAAACGAATAACATTTACATTTCCTGGACAAAGGCACAAGTCAAGTGTTATTG